ACCACCCGTATCACCATATTAACCACATATGAATGTGAACGAAACCACTCGGCATTAAATGTAGCTTTGCAACCGCATAGAAACACCTATGAAATAGCCACAACACCCTAGCAACGGCATAGTGCAATAAAACACTCAGCATACTGTACCTGCAAAACTGCATAGCAACCCCCTGGCAACCACCTAGAATACATGAAATACCCAGAAAAGCATATTAACCACATATTAACACCATAGAACACACAGAACACCCTAGTAACGGCATAACAACGTGGAATAAACCACTCAGAAACTCCATAGCAACACCTCGGCAACCACCTACAAACAGTAACTGTGTATTGTGACACGAGCCGCACAAATGCACCGAACTGAAGTGAACAGAAACACAAGGCGGAAGGCCGTGACTGACGTGTGTGTGTGTGTGTGTGTGTGTGTGACTGCAGGGAACACACTTCAGTGCCAAACACAGCAGACGAGCCGGTCAGACACAACACAAACACACATAATACAGAATACTACTAATAATAGTCATACATAAATATTAATAATTATTGCAGCATGAGCTCTAATCTGATTGGCTGATCAGAGTCATGTTTACGTCAGATTGATGATAATAATGATGCAAATATGAGCGTGAGAACCAGCGCGTGTGTTTGTTTAGGAGATTTCCTTCAGATGAGTCTGATGTGGATAATGAGTTCAAAAGTTTACACCCCCCCCCCCCCCCCACACACACACCTGATGTCTACACAGAAATAATGTGTTTTTAATGATTGTGTGTGTGTGTGTGTGTGTAGACATCAGGCGTCTGAACGAGATAACCAGGTGTAGTCTGGAGACTCAATCTGAAACACACACCATCACGACTCTCTCCACCGGCGCCTGTTCATGAATCAGTGTGTGAGCAGAGGAACAGAAGAAGCGCCGCACACACACACACACACACCCACGAGTTCCCACACACAGATGACCCCGCATTACAGCAGAGATCCTCGACTGCTATCAGTGTGTGTAACGGAGAAACACACAGGTGTGTCTGATATCTACACACACTCTTTCAAACAGCAGGAGTGTTCAATACCCCAGCCAATCAGGATCAATCAACCGTCAATACTGTCATTAACCATCAACCATCAACACTGAACACACACACTCCATACTGGACCAGCGACACACACTCCTTCATTAAGATGAACACTAGATCCAGATACATCCACTCACTGGAGGCCTGACACACGGTAAACACACACTCTCTCTCTCTTTCTCACATACTCTAACACACACACACACACACTGGCACACAGCAGAGGATGATGAAATATCTCCCATGATGCTCACTGAGAGGCCGGCTCCATATGGACTTGCATCAGCAAACGCTGCAGAAACAGAAACAGCGCCCAAGGACACACACACACACATACACACACACGCACACACACACACACACACATACAGGAGAATCAGCAGCCGCCGCTCACTGCTGTCTCGCGAGGGCACACCTGAGAGTCGCTGAGAGTCGTTCGTCACAGTTACGCACTAGCATTGTGGTTCTGTCTTCACGAGCTGGACCCGCTCAGGTCAACCCTGATGTGAAGGACATCTGAGAGACCTCCAGTTCTACTGAAGGGACTGCAGTCAGACATGAACCAGTGTTAGCATTAGCACCCGCTGAACTGGAAACCAGCATCACCGCGAGACGGGTCAGCGCCGGGTCGGTGTTTCCAGAGCATTCATGAACACACACTTCAAACGTTCGGAGAAACTTCCAGCAGAAACATTTTTTCTCTCTTCTTGTGTTTGTTCTCCCCAAGGCTCGTTCACCCAGAGCTGTCAGACGAGGGTTCCACGGGATCTACATTAATTATGCAAACGAAGATGCAAGAGAACTGCAATCTAATCTCACACGCAGTGAGGCTGTGTGAACAGGTCATCGAACACGACTGGGAAAACCGCCGTCATCGAGACTCCATCAAACGGAGAACAACTGAGGGATCATGTACATCCAGATGGTTGTTATCTCAGAATAAACTGTGTGTGTGTGTGTGTGTGTGATCTAAACTCCCTTCAGGTGTGTGTGTGTGTGTGTGATCTCAGAATAAACCCCCTTGATTCGGATCACCCTGTCGGTGATCACACACACACGGCCCAAATATTTTATTATTTCTTTAAACGCAAAGCTTCTGCAGGGAGAGCAGTTTCAAACTAGACGGACACTTGAAGGGTCAGTTCACCCAAAAATGAAGATGATGTCATTAATGACTCTCCCAAGCCCGTCAGACCTCGTTCATCTCCAGAACACAGTTTAAGATATTTTAGATTTAGTCCGAGAGCTTTCATTGGAGATGTGTGTACGGTATACTGTCCTTGACCAGAAAGGAAATAAAGACATCATCAAAGTAGTCCATGTGACATCAGTGGGCTAGTTAGAGTGTGTTGAAGCATCAAAAATACATTTTGCTCCAAAACTAACAAAAACTTCGACTTTATTCAGCATTGTGTTGTGTTCCGGGTCTGTTGTGGAATCGCGTTCACGAGTTCGCAGCTGGCGTGTGTCTGTGCATCTGTGTGTTCGGATTCAAATAAAAATGTCTGGACAAGGAGAGTATACCACAAACACACAGAAAGCTCTCGAACTAAATCTAAAATATCTTAAACTGTGTTCTGGAGATAAACGAAGGTCTGACGGGCTTGGGAGAGTCATTAATGACATCATCTTCATTTTTGGGTGAAATGACCCTTTAAGAGATATTATCAGATTAAACCTTTTTAAAACCGTACCTGTTTGTATCTTATAATCCAACAGTGTACAAAACAATAGTCACAAAATGGCCACCACTGCATTTGTAAAAAACAAGAGAGAGCGAGAGTCCACGATACTGGATAGCATAATTAAATAACTGTGTTATCTGGGATAATACACCGCTGGATGGAGCGATTGACCAATCAGAATCAAGTATTCCACAGAGCCGTGGAATAAGAGCTGAGAACCAATCATCAGCAACACAGGCAAGGTTCAGGACGACCGCTCTGTGCCAGGACCACGTTAACACTCGACTGACACCCAACTGAATCAGTGAGGTGAGAAAGAGCAAGAGAAACGAGAGAGGGAGAGCAAATATAGAGACTCAACGAGTCAGACATCTCAGAGTGAAGCTCAATCAGACAAACGCTGATTACAGGAGTCTCTACTCATACATGAACTGACACACTTTCTACTGATTCCACAGCTCAACGTGCAGCACAAAGAACGAGTACTCCTTACATAAATCTGCAGTCACAGCCTTGCCCCAGAATCAGCTGTCTCGGAGCTCACAGAAATACAGGCTTTCACAATGTCACTGATATTCCAGCACACCTTCATTCACTGGCAAACAAGCCTGAGGCCTCCACCATCATTTACTGAGACAAAACTAAGCTGAGATTCCTGTTCTTCAAACTCATTCCTACTCATTCCTGTAGTTCAAACTCATTCCTACTCATTCCTGTAGTTCAAACTCATTCCTACTCATCCCTGTAGTTCAAACTCATTCCTACTCATCCCTGTAGTTCAAACTCATTCCTATTCATTCCTGTAGTTCCTACTTACCCCTACTTATTACAGTAGTTCCTACTCATTCCTGTAGTTCAAACTCATTCCTATTCATTCCTGTAATTCAAACTCATTCCTATTCATTCCTGTAGTTCAAACTCATTCCTACTCATTCCTGTAGTTCCTACTTACCCCTACTTATTACAGTAGTTCCTACTCATTCCTGTAGTTCAAACTCATTCCTACTCATTCCTGTAGTTCAAACTCATTTCTACTCATTCCTGTAGTTCAAACTCATTCCTACTCATTCCTGTAGCTTAAACTCATTCCTACTCATTCCTGTAGTTCAAACTCATTTCTACTCATTCCTGTAGTTCAAACTCATTCCTAGTCATTCCTGTAGCTCAAACTCATTCCTACTCATTCCTGTAGTTCAAACTCATTCCTACTCATTCCTGTAGCTCAAACTCATTCCTACTCATTCCTGTAGTTCAAACTCATTCCTAGTCATTCCTGTAGTTCAAACTCATTCCTACTCATTCCTGTAGTTCAAACTCATTCCTACTCATTCCTGTAGCTCAAACTCATTCCTACTCATTCCTGTAGTTCAAACTCATTTCTACTCATTCCTGTAGTTCAAACTCATTCCTACTCATTCCTGTAGTTCAAACTCATTCCTACTCATTCCTTGTAGTTCAAACTCATTCCTACTCATTCCTGTAGTTCAAACTCATTCCTACTCATTCCTGTAGCTCAAACGCATTCCTACTCATTCCTGTAGCTCAAACTCATTCCTACTCATTCCTGTAGTTCAAACTCATTCCTACTCATTCCTGTAGCTCAAACTCATTCCTACTCATTCCTGTAGTTCAAACTCATTCCTACTCATTCCTGTAGTTCAAACTCATTCCTACTCATTCCTGTAGCTCAAACTCATTCCTACTCATTCCTGTAGTTCAAACTCATTCCTACTCATTCCTGTAGTTCAAACTCATTCCTACTCATTCCTGTAGTTCAAACTCATTTCTACTCATTCCTGTAGTTCAAACTCATTCCTAGTCATTCCTGTAGTTCAAACTCATTCCTACTCATTCCTTGTAGTTCAAACTCATTCCTACTCATTCCTGTAGTTCAAACTCATTCCTACTCATTCCTGTAGTTCAAACTCATTCCTACTTATTCCTGTAGTTCAAACCCCAGGGAAACCAATAAAAAGTACATTTACCTTAAATGCAATAGAAGCTTCTTTGAATGTAAGTGTCTGTCTGCTAAACGCATAAAATTAAATATACTCAAGAATCCCATATACTCGACCTGAGTTTAAGTCCTGACTCCAGGGACCTTCCCCGATCCCAGAACCCTCTCTCTACCACTCCCTGTGAGTTCTCTATACTGTACTGTCTCGATCAAGGCAGAAATGCCAAAATAATAGTTCTTTAAAATGAATCAGCACTGCCACACTGGCACCTACCGTGGCTTCCCCGCGTCAGGAAGGGCATCCGGTTGATGGCGATGGGAACGGTGCCGTGTTTGTTATGGAAATGGTGAACGTGATGCGTTGTGCTCAGACTGGACGATACTCTAGCCGAGACCGCCGGGCCTGGGAAGGCGAGTAAAGACAGGGACAGAACCAGTCTCCATAGACCCGACACACTGGTCCAGCAGACCCTGGGCGCCGGGGCTCGTGGGTAAAGCACTAATCCACTGCTCAGAAGCAAAGCGGAAGAGAAAGGGGGCGGGGCTTCCATGCCACGCCTCCTCACGTGACACAAACAGGAAGACATGTCAGGCCAAGCCGGTATCCATGGTTTCTAGATTCCCGTAGCTGGGAAAAATGCCTCAATCGCGAACTGCAAACAGAAAAACCTTCGGGGATTAATTTCCACAAAGCAATCCAAAGATGAGGTTGACCAACCTTTGAAAACCCCAAAAAAGATGAGGAGCAAGAGCAGTAACAATAACCCAAAACTAATAAACTAAACCAAACCTCTAGATAGAGCTACATCGGAATGCAAGACGAAGGAAAAGCCTCCACCAAACTAGAATCCCGACGGGTTGATCCTCAAGTTTGCCGAGAGCTTGCGGAGGTTATCCATCTAAAGTCCAGAACGCTAGTGCCGAGACACACCATCCTGGAAAAACTCGAACGCAAGGATAAATCGGACAAAACAAAACAAGTGAAAGATAAACAGGGAACAGGAGGAGAAACGAGATGCGATGGATGATCAAACCTCAGGAGACGAGCAGAAAGCTCAGAAACCAGTGACCAGACAGAATAAATCAAGCCCTCGGGACGGGAAGAGCAGAACAGCGATCCGGCGAATCCTATGATCCCGAGCTCTGATTAACTTCCTCTCCCAGCGGGGCTAATCTGTGATCTCCATTCATGCTCATTCCTGGGATTCTGCGGCGCTCCTTTGGAGAGAGAAGCTCTAGCGTTAATGAAACGGGAGCATCACAGTCTCGTCCTCTCGCAGATCTATCCGTTAGCGACGGCAGTGATGCGCGAGTGTGTGTGTGTGTGAGAGATGTGGCAGTGCTGAAGCTGGCGAGACGCTTCGCTCGTGTGAAAGCACAGCCTGAGACTGGGAGAGAACGAGCGAGACACAGCTGCGGACACACACACACACACACACAGAGAGAGAGAGACGGAGGAGGTGGGAGGGAGCGAGCGAGGGAGGGAGGTGCTCAGGGAAACACACTGGTTAGTTTCTACACTGGCTCAGTATAAACCTCATTTATTAGAAGCATATTTGGATATTTCACACAGACACACACTCCAACAATTCAGTTGTTTCTCCTGACAGATCACACACACACACACACTCATATAAGCGCTCACTTGACGTCACTGGTCTCTTTTGGGCCTGATTTAGTTTCTCCAAAGGGATTTCAGAGTTTGAAACCATAGTGTTATATAACGAACAATGGAGAGCAAACGGCTGATGCAGTTTTAACACACAACACCAGTGTGTACCAGTGTGTGTCAGAAGAACCTGTTCGAACCAGTGAATCATTCAGAGCCGTGACTGGCCAAGCGAAGAATGCTGAACTAGACTGGACTTTTATTATTCCTGTGGGGAAATCTTTGCTGAGTTTCAATACGTGCACACACAAAAACAACCAACAATGTACATAAATAGAAAAATAGAAAACACACATTATAATAAATATACTTTTTAAATAAATTTAAAAAAAAAAAAATCACAAAATTTGCAGCAAAAACTTCCCCATCATCACTGAGACGAACTCTGCATAAACAAACAATGCAAATATATATATATATATATATATATATATATATTTTCTGAATGTTCAAAACATTTTAGTTTTTTAATTGTCATGGTTATACAAACGTAATGGGAAAATTCAAATCTATTTGATATTTTTAAATGTTAATTTAAATGTCCATACTGTACTAAACACAAGCAGAAATCTTTTAGAGAGAGTTCAACAGCTGAAGGCGAACACGAGCTTCTGAACAGCGGTGTGTAGTTTATCTGCTGACCGGTTTGATTGTGGAGAGAGAGAGACTCCCAGAGGCCGAGAGACACTGAGGAGATTCGTCATGAGAGAGGCGAGGATGATCAGGACCTCAGCGGGTTAGTTAGTTAGTTAATTAGTTTATCTTGACCTGCCAAAGCCAGGAGCTTCTCTGGGATTTTTCGGGTGTACAGGAACAAACCATTTCATTTGAAAAAAGACAATTACACGGAGACAAACATGAGCTAAAAATAAAGAGACTGCTGATTATAAATGTGTAAATATGAAGCTGTAAAGAGGCGTCATGATGCAAGCGAGTGGGAGGACGACACACGCTCAGATCATCCAGGAGAGGCTTCGACACTTCTGATGCAAATTCATCTGAATATGATTCCACACGACACTGATGATGAAGAGAGAGAGATTCACGGACCCGCCTCCGGTCACTCACCTGCGTCCCAGCGCAGCAAACAGAGCTAACGCGATTACACACACCTGATCTGAACGCCAATCCCGTTGCATTACACACTCCGCTGAGACACACACTCTCATGGCCGCTCACTGCAACTCCTCGTCACGAGAGGCTTCAGTAACGTTCACTCCTATGATATCTCATCTTATTGTAGACAAAAACAGTGTGAGCACAAAAATAATGCCAATAACAGAAATTATTTCTGCATTTTGCAAACGCATTTTCACACAAAAATATTTACTTTTATGGCACACACACACATACATGCACACACAATTACAAGCACACACACTAAACTCCTAAATCATAAAACTCATGTATAACTTATCTCTCCGCTGAAACACGATTCATTACCAGAGCATCTGGCAAAAAGAGATTATTTTCAAGAAATTAACCTTCCGATTCCCTCATTTACTAATCACACACTTAAAACGCATCTCATTTATGAGGCCATTTGAAGAAACACAAACAATTGTGACTATTTTTCTCCTCATTAACTGTGTTTCTTAAAATAGACTCACAAACATGTTTATTAAACAAGCTCCCGATTTCATCTTGAAGTTTTCATAAACACTTCTGCTGTTTCCACTCTCAGAATAGCAGAGTAAGAAGCACATGACGTCTGTTGTCTCATCGGTCATTAGTCCACCACGAGTCGTTAGTGCTGCGGCTCATGACGACATGATCACATCTCTGAAACTAAGTATTGAACTTCAGAATGACCTGCAGTATGTCAGAGACAACACCCTAGCAACTGCATACCAACACCTTAGCACCCACCCAGAACAACAGAAACTGCATAGCAACAACCTAGAATCCATCCAGAATTCCCCAGGAACTGCACCCCAGCAACCATCTAAAACGCCATAACAACTGCACCCCAGCAACCACAGAGCACCCTAGCAACCATCTAAAACGCCATAAAAACTGCACCCCAACAACCACAGAGCACCCTAGCAACCATCTAAAACGCCATAACAAATGCACCCCAACAACCACAGAGCACCCTAGCAACCATCTAAAACGCCATAACAACTGCACCCCAACAACCACAGAGCACCCTAGCAACCATCTAAAACGCCATAACAACTGCACCCCAACAACCACAGAGCACCCTAGCAACCATCTAAAACGCCATAACAACTGCACCCCAACAACCACAGAGCACCCTAGCAACCATCTAAAACGCCATAACAACTGCACCCCAACAACCACAGAGCACCCTAGCAACCATCTAAAACGCCATAACATCTGCACCCCAACAACCACAGAGCACCCTAGCAACCATCTAAAACGCCATAACAACTGCACCCCAACAACCACAGAGCACCCTAGCAACCATCTAAAACGCCATAACAACTGCACCCCAACAACCACAGAGCACCCTAGCAACCATCTAAAACACCATAACAACTGCACCCCAACAACCACCCAGAACACCCTAGCATCTGCACCCCAGCAACCATCTAAAACGCCATAACAACTGCATCCCAACAACCACAGAGCACCCTAGCAACCATCTAAAACGCCATAACAACTGCACCCCAACAACCACAGAGCACCCTAGCAACCATCTAAAATGCCATAACAACTGTACCCCAACAACCACCCAGAACGCCCTAGCATCTGCACCCTAGCAACCATCTAAAACACCATAACAACTGCACCCCAACAACCACAGAGCACCCTAGCAACCATCTAAAACGCCATAACAACTGCACCCCAACAACCACAGGGCACCCTAGCAACCATCTAAAACACCATAACAACTGCACCCCAACAACCACAGAGCACCCTAGCAACCATCTAAAACACCATAACAACTGTACCCCAACAACCACCCAGAACGCCCTAGCATCTGCACCCCAGCAACCATCTAAAACACCATTACAACTGTACCCCAGCAACCACGCAGAGCCCCCTAGCAACTGCATAGCACAGCCCTAGCAACCAGCAAGAATGCCCTGCTGTAGTGTCGGTGGGTTTTACTAACCTCAACCTCAGGGTGTCTTCATAGAATCCATCCAGAACACTCTTAGTAATTGCATAGAAACACCTTAACACCCACCCAAAACACCCTAGCAACTGTGTAGCGACACCCTAGAATCCACCCAGAACACCCTAGCAACTGAGCCCCAGTAACCACCCAGAACACCTTTCCAACTGCATAGCAACACCAAAGAAACAACCCAGAACCCCCTAGCAACTGCACAGCAACCGCTCATAAGCCGCTGTAGTGTCGGTTTTGAGCACACGATGGTTTGATGAAGCTTGTTCAGTGGTTTCACATGAAATGTCAAAGAACCGCATGAAGCTTTCACTTGCTCAGCCTCGAACACCGATCATGTGCTCACAGTGAAGCGGCCTCGATTCCTCTCTCACTTATTGTAAAGTGTTACCAAATTATTCAGGAATTAGATCAAACACACTTTACCCCGCCAACAAGTACTGTATATGTTCTAAGAATGATTTGGTAATGTTCCTGTTAAGTTCTGAAAACGTTCCTTCTGAATGTGACGAATGTTGATCTGAGTGTGATCGAAAGTCTCATGAATATCTAATATTCTCAGATATTTCCAGACATTCTCAATTAGACCCAGATATCCCAATAGTTTCCTAGGAATTCCCAAACATTCACAAATATTCCCACATATTCTCAGATATTCCAAGATATTTTTAGAGATATTTTTTTAGAGCCTGATTTAAAAAAAAAAAAAAATGTCCCAAACAATAATAATGTTCTTATGATAATTTTATGTAGTTGATATGACAGGCATGCACTACTTTACTATATTTTCCTCTCAGTCTCAGCTAAAGTAACTAATACAGTATTTATCAGCATTTATACATCAGCCACATTTTCTTATCAGGCTGATAACGATAGCATTAAAAATGAACATATATCGGCCGATACGAGGAGATTTCGTTACTGCAGCATTTTTAACCATGTTTTATTTTATATACATATATTTGATATTATTTTACATGTACATTTTATTTGCTCTAGTTTAGAAAATGGTAGTAAAATATGAGCAGAATGATCAGATCAGTGGATATTTGACTGATATTTGGTCCCAAATTTGTATTTATTTTAGTGGTAGTCCCTGTATGAAGAATATCTGTGACTGCATGTACTGAAATTGGTTTATGCTCCAGTACATCAATGCATATTGATTAGATGTCAACAGATATTGGATTTTGCTGACACGATAATAATGTGTTCAAAAAACCTATTATTGTGCCGATATTAGCGAAATAATATTGAATGAGTTAAATAATGTTTCTAGCCTCAGAGAGTTTACATTGAATTGAATGCCAGATAGGGTTTATTGTGTCATCAAAACACTGTCTGATTCTTAAACGCTGGAAACTCAAACTGAAGTCACGCACCAGTGGATTTAATCCAGACCAGACAAGCTCATCGAGCCTGAGCGCCGCTAATAAGTGTTCAGAGACGTGTGAGGTCGCCGTGACTTCAATATCCCAACACACACTGAAGAAGAGCTGGAGAAGAGACACACACATTGATTTTTCACTTCTGCTGGCCAGTGGAAATCATTACGACTGCCGAGGAGAGAGAGAGAGAGAGATGAAGAGGCTTCACTCATCAAACAATAACACATGTAGATTTTCCATAGA